AACAATGGGGGCCTAGGATCCTCAGCCTAAGTAAGAGCAGCCTGAGACTGATCGGAACCAACTCTGGGTAAAATCACACCCTGTTCAATGCTTCCTGCCTGGACTCTGTGGCCTGTCTCTAACTGGGTTATCAGTGTTCAACCTCTGAGAAATCACCACTATCGCTTTACGAACTCCTTGCCATTAACTAGAATTTAGAACCGAATGCCTTTCGTTTAATCGTTGATTTATCTCCCCTTTCCCAGGAGCAAACTCTGCCCTGTTAAAAACCCTTTCATCTGTAACAGGATTTGGATTAGGGAATGAACTTGTCACATTCTCCCTATCTTCAAACAATTTTGCCACATTTACAGCGTCTCCCAATCCCCCTAGGCCGTCTTCCAAATCTATGTTTTCCCCACACTGCCAATCAATGACTCTTCGCCTGAATCAGACGACTCATCGTCTGAGATTTCACAGTCAAGCCAACCTTTGTCTTCCCCCTCTTTCTCCTCTCTTCTAGATCTTGAATACCTAGGGTTGGAACAATCAGAACCGGAAAAGCTACAATCCTTTTCCACCGGTGGAGTTATTGGGGCCCACTTCATCAACTGACCAGATTTGGATTCTACTGATGCCTTAGCTTGGGAGCCAAGTGGGGAAGAAGATGGACCATAACTTCTGTCCCCGATCGAACCAATCACCCTTTGACTCACGTGTCTACTTGAAAAGTCACATGAGTCCGAATTCTCCTCAATATGACTTCTGAATGTTGGGCCACCAGTCTGGTTAGCCCGACAGCCAGTCAGCTCAAAGGACCTACACTAGACCTCTTCTGTGGGCCCAACAATGGATCTAACATTGCTCCTCTTGTTAGCACCTCAGCAAAGGAAGCCCCACCTGCCTCTTTACTTTTCATTTTGAAAAAATTTGAAAAACTTTCTTTTTCTGTAGGCCCCTCCCTTCGGTCCAATTTATTAGGTTGTTCCACTTCCAGAAATGGTTCTGCCCCTCTACCACTTGTTTCGACTGCTCCCCTGCCTCCACCTGTGAGCCAATGTGCCACATCAACACCTTCTTCAACCTTGGAACAGCCCAACCAGAGTGATGCTTTGAATTCTGTTACAATCCACACCTTCCACCATTTTCTATCCACAAGCAGCTCACAACAATGAGAGATTCTTTCTGCCTTAATCCCTACTATTATCACTACTATTGCCATCAAGTTGAAGAAACTAATGTTCTCCAGTATGCCAACCAATGATTTAATTAGCCTTTCAATAATCTCCTCCTCCAGAAGTTGAACAGAAGCCTCACCAGTTTCACCACAGTTGTGTCTTCGTCTAACTCCACCTCATTGCACGACATGACCCATCTTTCAACTAGCACCAAGCCCGCTGTCGTTTCCACCACTGAAGCCTCGATGACCTCAGTTCCAACATCGATAATCTCTCTGGTGTCGCAAAATGGAAGCACCAATGCATGGTCACTGATATTAAACTTAGTCACCACAGAATCCACGATTAATTTCCAATCTTTAACTTTTGTCTTCAATGTAATGATATATCTCCTTTCCCAAACTCCTTTATCCACATCCATGGTAACCTTTGAACCAGTACAAGAACTAAAGATTTCTAAGTTTCAGTTCTGATCTTTACCATCATCCAGCATTGAGGGGGTTGAGTCCGCCGATCACTCTGTATGGTTCATTTCTTCAACCTTTTGCTCTTCCTCTTGAACCAACTTGGAAGGTGTCTCTTGAAGCACCAGAAACTCTTGCATTTTCTCTGTAACTAGCAACCATCCTCTGCTCTCATTTCCTTCTGGCAAACAGATCACTTGTTTTTTATCCTTTCTGAAGAACTCTTTGACTATTATAAACCAGCCTTTCCGGTTCCATCTTAACTCAGCCTCATACCACTTCCCAAATCGATCTAAAGAACTCTTCCAACCCATTCTTTTCACAGAAAAGGTCACACCATCCACAAATCCTTTAATCCACTGCACCGCTTCACCCACTAAGAAGATGGTAGCTCTTTTCTCCTCTCTTACTTTCAGGGAATCACTACCTTGAAGTCTATGCTCTTCAAACAAGAACCTCTTCGCTTCTACCTTTACCTAACTTTTCCACCTTGAAGCTGACTGAAACATCTTCGTCACCTCCTTCTCCCCCATCTCTTTTTTATACCGTCATTCAACATAATTAGAGGACAGATAGCTAATGTATTTTCATACATCCATTAACAAAAACCAACCCAATTTCACTCTCATCTAGGAAAAGAAAATTCTTTATCAAAATCACTCAATCATCCTAGAGAAAACCAAATCCCCCTCCCCCGATTTTAGCCTTGTAGGGATTGAAACTCATGTATACTCTATATTTCCAAAGATAGCTAGAGATTCAAAGACTGTTATTAGCTAGATGGATGGTAAGAGGATAGTGCATGGAAGATTTGACACATCTTAAGTGAAGCCAAAGCTCTTGCATCTAGTGTGATCATCCCACTAAATTAGATCAGGAGATATAGCTAATAAATTGACAAATAAAAAAGGGAAATCGCACAAGGCTCCCACCAATGTGAGGTCTGGGGAGGGATAGAATGACAGATGTACGCATCCTTACCCCTGCACATACAGAGAGGCTGTTTCCAAGATTTGAACCTTGGTCACCCAAGTCACAATGGAGCAACCCAACCATTGTGCTGAGGCCCACCCTCTATTAATTTGGCAAATAAGCTTGCCAAATCTAGAATAAACAGAACAAAGATAATATCAGGGGCCTCCATTCCTTGGAGACCAATTATGATATATGTAATGGGCTGACATTAGCCTCTTTTTTTTTCATTTTTAGGTTGTATTTTTATCTTTTTATTTCCCATCCCTTCTAGGGGCCATTGCTTGGTTTAGTTTTCCCCTTTATTTTTATGTTGTTTACCTTAGCAACTGTTAAACTATGAGAATTTATGGTCCCTCTGCCTTTAACCCACTAGCAAACATAAACTCATAAAGAGGTATTCTCATGGAGAGGGTGAAAGGGTGAATTCAAGTACCATCTACTAAGGACTAGAATAATAATATTAGCTCCCACCGCCCCCCCCCCCCCCTAAACCACCTAGCAAATGATGGAGGTTTAATGAAGGAACATACTCTGGAGATAAACCATTGCAGCTAAGTACAGAGTAAGAAATTTTGGCTGGGAGTGGGTGCATAGTAAAGGATAGGATTGAGAAATCCCATACCTCTTTCATTATAGAGCTTATATATAAGGTGGGGGATGTCTCCAGGTCGCCTTTATGAAAAGATACATGGTGTGTTGAAAAACCTCCTATTGAGTGCTATCCATCTCTTTTCATTGCAGCAGAGAATACAGATACATTAGCATGGAACTACAATGAAGAGGGAACAAGTGGAGTTGTTTGGAATCCAATATTCATAGGAAACCTCAAGGATTGGTGATACTTATCTTACTTAAGCTCTTCCTCATCACCGCATGGATACCCATATCTTTTCCTGTAAGCTATTCCATCTGTTTTCCCTCTATCTGCTTGCTTGACAAGCCTTTGTGTGTGTATGTGTACCTATTTGTTTCTTCACAATTTTTACTTTCCCCTAAACTTATGTTCTATTTTTTGAAAGAAATTGCACATCACTTCAGAAAGCAGGGTGTGTACATATCAACCATGAGAAAATCCTAGTTCCTCAGCTTTCTGCCCTTAACTCCACTAGTATTGCTGCATTATATCGTATGGTGTCTTTATTTACTCAATACACTCCATTTCCTACTTGTGATATATAGAAGATCACAAGTGGTTAGCCAGACGGCCAAACCCCCAACAAGCTTGCTACTTGTGATATATAGTTATATCATCTATAACATAATAGAAGATCACAAATACATGTTAATGAAGAACAGTAACAAGAGATGAGAACCTTCCAATGTCATAACCTAACAAAATGTTCACCACCATTTTTTGTCTTTGACCGGAAAATGTTCAGCACCTTCATACTGACTAGCATGCTAATTCTGCTCTTTTAGGATCATTGTATAAACATTTTCTAAGTGGCCTCTTCTCTATTGCTGTTTTTTATTCACACCAATCAAATCAAAGCAAGATAAAGAAAATAGAAAACATGGAAATCAAATATGCCTCAAACCTGAAAATGTAAACATGATGGCAAAACCAAGAACTGGACAAATATTCTAAATTGCAATAAATGGCACATTTCTATAGAAGACTATGGTGATGCATTACAGTAAAGTCTCATTTTAGATTGTGCTCTATAAAAGAGGGGCAGTAAGCTGAACTAAATACATTGTGCTGTTTAAGGTTAAATGGCTAATGTTTCATTACGATTCATTTGCTTTTACATATTACACCTTTTCTAGAACTCCAGTGTGCCAAATTACTGGAATTCTTTTACCACCCAATCTAGCTATCTGAACAAAGAGTCAACTTCATGCACTTTCAAGTAATCAAACAAGCTATTAAACAATGATTCACGAATATTAAGAAATGGTTCAAATTTCCAATATTCCTTCCACAACAACCAAATCATGGATTCCTCTCTACCCCCGCCGAAAAAGTGAAGAAAAAGAGCATTAGCTTCATTTGAAAAACCCAAGAAATAGCATGAAATTATTTCTCTATAATGGAAATGGATCTTCAGCAATCATTTCCAGAAGACACGAACGAAAATTTTCATATCCCTCAAGTTAACAAATCTAGATCACAGAAAAGACAAACATATAACCAAAAAGTAAAACAAAACAATAATAATATCAATTCAAGTGAATACGGGAAGTGGCGGGAAAAGCTAGAGGTCTAACCATCGAGAGCTATATCCTGAGCCTCGCAGACGATCCTTCCTCCTCGTCGAGAAATCCCCGCGTTCCTCAAGCTTACCGACGCAGACGTGCGCCTCAGAGGACGCGATTGAATCCTCAAACCCTTAAATTCTGGCAGGCTGCAGACTTTCCGGCTGTTCGGGGAAGCAGTAATCGAAGAAACCGTCGGTGACGGCGATAGGGTCGTACGGAATCCAAAACGACGAGGAACAGTCACCGATTCGAGTATCGCAGCCATGTACATCAGACCGATTTTACAGAAGTGCCACTGTATAAGGATAGATCTGAGAGATGAATATATGTGAGAAACTACTGAAATAAATCTCTTGCGATGCGAGAGAGAGAGAGAGAGAGAGAGATTTCAGGAGCCCAGAGCACACACCGAATCTGTGTGCTGAGAGGAGAGAGAAAAGGGGAGAAACGGAGAGAGAGACTCTTGGACGTGTTTGTTTTGTTTTTACCGAGAAAAAACGTTTGCTGTTTGTTACAGAGATACGAAGGCTGTCGTCTGTCTCTGTCGAGTTTCAAAGGAAGAGACGATGAGTTTGGATCTGCTCCCAACAAGCCTTCCAACCAACGATTACAGCCGCAGATCGAGATCAATCTCCCCGTGAATGACAAAGGGAGATCCGGTTTCGATGTTGATGAGACCCAGATCCATGTGAATAGTGTGGATTTGTACGCTTGTCTATTACACCAATGGGCTTTTACCACCAAGACAATGACCTCAATAGCCTTACGAGGCCTTACCCATTTTCAATAACTTTCGGCCCAGTAATAGGTTGGACTGAACTTTGAAGAGTTTTGTTTTTCATTTTTCCCAAAAAAAAAAAAAAAAAACTGAAATTCATTCGTATCGTATATAGCAAAAAGGGTATAAAGTGTCTTCATGTGTATAGACTATCGTCCAAATTCAGCATATCTGTCTATGTTTGCACACCGACGATCTATGATGCCGGAAAGGTATGATATCGGACGATTTTTATTAATCAAAACCCCAAAGGTATGATATCTGTCTATATTTGTGTATAAGGTTTAAAATGTTAAGTGGGACCCGGGGTGAATTCTATCATGGTTAAATGGTTAAATGGGTTAAGGGTCTCATTGATCTTGACTCGTCCCCGTGGGCCCCCGTCGCTCGTGGGGGGTTTTTTTGATCATTGATCGGGGTAGGTTAGGGGAAAACCCGAAACTCTGGGACTGGGGACGGGGCCGGGACAATATTTGTCCAGTGTCCATCCTGTCTCGACACCATCCTCATTATATTATATAACATAATATATATATATATATATATAATTATTAATATATGTTAATATATAGTATATTATATTATATTATATAAAATATTTTTAAATATATTTAAAAAAAAAATTAACAAGTATAGAAGTAAGAATGATCAGGGCAGGGTGGGGCAAAGTCAGGAATCCCTGTTCCCCGTAGGGATAAGGATGGGGTTGGGATTTTTATCTCCAATGGGATTCAGGGTAGGTATGGGGCAGGGAATTTGAATTTGAGGTTGAGTACGGGGCGGGGGGGGCAAAGTCGGGGATCCCCGTTCCCTGTGGGGGCAGGGATGGGTTAGGATTTTTATCCCCATTGGGGTTTGGGGCAGGTATGGGGTGGGGAATTTGAATTTGGGGTCAAATACGGGGTAAGAAAAACCCGCCCCATTGCCATTCCTACTTCCCAGAATAGGTGGCAATGATAAATTCATCTGGCTACATAGACTCAAAATGCAAATTTTCTATAAAGTCAACTTATGGTTTAATAAAAAATCATTGGAAAATAATTTGGTCTCTAAATATTCCTCCAAAGACTAGAAATTTTATTTGAAACTGTTGTCTGAATTGCACTGTTGAAGGCAAACTTAGAGAAAGTTGATATGAATGTCAACAATCTGTACCCAATTTGTGAAAAAAAAAATTCAGAAACTATTATTCATGCTATAATTTCAACATGCCAATGTATCATGGTTTGGTTGTATGCTTAGACTAACTTTCAACTCACATTCATACACTACTATTTTTTTAAGCCAGATACACTACTATTAAATCATACATACATATTATTATTACTAGTAAATGTGCACATGTTTTTGCACGTGGTAGTTTCGAATGACAACAATAACAAAAAACAATAACAAAAAAACAACAATAGTAATAATAATTTTGATGCTTTTATTGAAATCCATGTAATAAAGATAAGTAATCAAAGCATGGTGTGTATTGGTGAAACTGATGACCTATTTGACCAGGTCAACAAGCTATGGATGAAACATTTTTTCTTTATTATTTTTTGTATTTTAGCTATTTCCATCATTAATCACAATAATTCTCTTTTTTTTAAGTATTTTTTGTTTAATATGATAAATATATAATATTAAAGACTTTCTTAATTTTTTTTTTGTAATTTCATAATATTTTCTATATTTTTACTTGTATTATTTAATTTACGACATCACAAGTTCACTTGTTTGATTGTAAGGGAAATGTGGTTTTGTTCAATTTTTAAAACATTAGTTTTTTATTAGTGTTTTTTATCTCATGGTCAAATCAATTGGTCAACTAGTTAATCCATTAGGCCATTATTTTGGGTCCATTTATCATCAAATTACTTGTTTACGAAAAAAAACATTAACTCAATCAACAATATGGTGACCTATCTATTTGAACCATTTAACAGTTTGACCTAGTTAGTGGAGTCACAAGTTAGACATTAATTATCTTTTTTTTCTTATTTTTTATTTCCATCATTAATAAAAATAATTTTTATTTATAAAATATTAACAATTTACCATATTTTTATCTAATTTTTAATTTTTATTATTTAATTATGACATCATGGTATACCCATTTGACCTGAATGGTTTAACCATTGTTCCATTGCTTGCATAAATAGAAAAACTGGTTTACTCTCACGTCAATTTTATTGTATTCCATTTTCATCATTAGTAAAAACAAATCCTATTGTTTACACTTATTTTTGTTTAATATGATGAATATATAATATCATATACGTGATCAAATGTTTTTCTACAAAATTTCTATACTTCTTTTTGTATTTTTTGTGTTTCTATCTTTTTAAATATTTATATTTAATTATGATATGGGTTAACCTATTTGATCCAAAAGGTTGGACCATTGACTCACCATCTAAATAGGAAAATGGTTTCATTTTTAGATCAATTTTGAATTTTGTATTTCATTTACATCATTAATAAAAATAATTGTTATCACTTATTTTTATTTAATATGACTAATGTATAATATTAGAGATGTGTCTAAACTTTTTACTTTTTGTATTTTATAATTGTAAAGATTTTAGTATTTAAGTATGTTACAATGGATTGACCTATTTGACTCAAATGGTTGAACTACTTACCCACCACTTGACAAAAAATGGTTTTATTTGTGGGTTGTTTAGAAAAAAAATATATGGTTTTATACCATTGAAATTATTGGAATTTAATGATAAGAAATACAGGTAACTTCAACATAGGATTAAATGAAAGAGAATAGGAGTTCATGCTATAAATATAGTTTTCATGTGAGGAAATAAAACGAATTTAACAATTGTATTCAAATTATAGCTTCTACCCTCAAAATAGAGATGGACTAAATTCAAAAAGATAGGCATTTTGGTCAAGAAAAATTCCAAAAAAACATGAAGAGCTATTCCCACCTTTTATAGTGGTATAGGTTATTAAAAGTATGAATGATGCAAAATTTTTCTTCTTAAAATTTCCAATTCTAAGGGCATTTAAACTACTAACTTTTCACCTCATGGAATTCTCTGTCATTAAATTTTATATTTAATGTATAACTCCTATTCCCTCTCATTAATTCCTATATTTAATTTATTTCTCACCTATAAATTCTACTAGTGAGATCTAAAATTTAATACTTTTAACAATACCCATGTTGTTTTTAACAGAATATAACTATTCTTCCATTTAGGTGCTCTATAAGAAATTGAAATATATATACTACTTAGTACAAATAGCCCCTAAAATTTTAGGGATTTTAGTTGGACAAATTTTGCACCTTTATGTGAATGTTTTCAAATTTGAATTTAAGGAAAAATTTGATATATTGTTGATTGTTTTAAATGATTTACTTAAATGAATTGTAACTAAAATTTCATGGAGTGTTTAGCTAGATGTATTTATCTCTCTTTTAATTAATAATAAATTATAACTAAAATTTCATGGAGTGTTTAATTAAATGTAGCTCTTTCTTTTAATTAATATTGAACAAAATCATTGTTATTTGGTTATCTTTAAAAGTAAATTCAGCTGTCATTAAAATGTGGATTTTCAATGTGGTTCCACAATTTTGATTATGGTTTTTTGGTTAGTTTTTCCTTTGGTTTATAAGTAGTTTTTGCTCAATCTTAAGATGTTTAAGAGGGTCTCATCCAAAATATCTATTTCAAAAAGTCAATTTAAAAAAAATTGTGAAATAGGATTCAAAAATTGATTTCTAAGATTATGAGCATCCCAATACCAACAAACAAAGAAAAATACTTGGGGTGCCCCAATTGTTCAAGGCAAATTTGATAATAAGGCTTTGATTAACATCATAACTAAAATTAAGAAGAAAATTTAGGATTGGAAATTGAAATCTCTTTTTAAATATGAAAGAGTGATCCTTATCAAACAAGTTTTGAATGTGGCTCTTGTATTTACTAGGCGCCAATTGGCCAATCAGTAAGGTATCTTGGATCAAATCCCACCTGCACCTAGGTTGTTTGTTATGGGTTTGGGGAATGGGCCACCCCCGTTGTGTAGCCCCATAGAGAAAAAAAAAAACAGAAAATGTAATTACTTTATTTCAAATGAAGTTCAAATGAACATACCCTCAAAAGATTGAAAAAATTCAAAGTCAATTCTTTTGAGGCCTAAGAGAAGGCAAGGGAGCAATTATAGGATAAGTGAGAAAAGACTTTACAAATTAATGACTTTTATTTTTGGGAAAATTACTAAAAAGACCTTTAAGAAGTATTTTTCCCCTTTGTGTTAATGCTTTTGTATTTGAATTTGAGGGCAAATCAAATATTTTGTTGATTGTTTAAAATGAGATCAAAATAGGACAAATTGAGCCCTTCATTGTTAACTTTATGCTGAATTGTATAAGAGGATAAAAATGTAATTCTTTTATGCTTCTTAAATAACTAAACTACATGTCTGATTTTTTATTTTTGATAGCCACAATGTGTCTAAATAGACATCTATAAATCATAGAACTTAATGAGTTGCAATTGAAATTGCATGGAGTATTTAGCTGGACAAATTACTCTAGACACTTGGATCTGCATGTTAATTTGTAGGGAATTACAAATTACTTGAAATCTATAAGAAGTACCAATAGATCTTTAAGGCTTTTGGACTTTTTCTTGACTTAAAATACCCCTTTCTTGAATTTGGTCTCTCTCTATTATGAAGATATAAATTGTAAATTGAATACTATTTTTCGTTTCA